TCAGTAAGGGGGACCCCTTTCCCCCTCCCTTCCCCTTCCCCCCCCCTTCCCCCCCCCCCTTTCATCGGTACGTCCCGCCCCAAAAAGACAATCCCCGCTTGGGTTCCCCCGTTCGGGTCTGTTTTAAGAATACGAAAAAAGGCAGGCGCCGCTGTCCCCCTTGACAGAAGGACCCACCTTTCCTTCCTTCTCCCGCTCGCGGCTTCCTCCCCGAGATGCGAGGAGCCCGTGCCAACCGTGCTTCGGTCCTTCCCCCATTTCCATGCCATCCCATCAATCCATCCAGCCGGGAAGGCGCATGCTGGATCTGGCAGGCAGACCTACCGAGGCCTAGGTGTGCAGGGAGGCAGGCAAGGAAGGGAAGTCTGAGGCAGGTCCTTTTGCTGGGACGAGGCGGGAAAAGGAAGTTACCGTCATCAAACCTCGATTTTTGACGAACAGTCACCCCTGCCCTGTCTGCCTGCCTGCCTGCATCCTGGTGCCCGGGTCTGGCCGCCGGCTCGGGAAGGAAGGGATGGGGTGTCAGAAGGAACAATCATCGCCTTGCGGTGTCATCCGATTGAGCAGAATCGCCAAAACCAAGAAGGCGACCAGACGCCAACCACACAACAAACCATAGACAAGCCAGACCAACGAGGCAAAGCAAACAAGAAGGCGTCCACATCTGGATTCCAGTCCCCCGCGATTTCTTCCTCCACCCCCAGGTTTCCAGCAGCGCCCAGAGACATGTTGCCCCGAGTGCCACGGTCATCCAGGACTGGTTGGTTGCGGCCGACGAGATGAGTCGAGCCGAAAGAGTCATTCTCCCTCATCCTAGGCGCGCCTCCTCGGGCACTGGCGGAGCGCGTCTCGGCCTCTCACAAGCTGATGCTAAACCGTCGCCCTTCCATTCGCGCGGTTTGCACCTAGCCTGCTCTGGCGATGCGATGCCGAGGAAAAGTGTGTGCCTTGGTGGAATTGAGGTGGAATACTCCCAAAAAGCCGAGTCGCTTTTGGATGCCAGCCAGGCAAACGAACGCGTCGCCGACCGATGGGAGGGTGTGTTGTGTTAGTGCGAGAGCGAGTTTGAGGGTGGCCACTCAATGCCAGTCGATTCGGGTACGAGCCACACAATCAGCAACACGCACGCCGTTGCGACGTTGCCTGGCAATAGTTCCAATGGCCAACGCCTCGCCGCGCCGTAGCATCGTCAGCATTCCCTCAGGGCCTCACTCACGCTCCCTCAACATTGTTTGGTTAGTCGCTATCCGGACTCATCGTGTGTCCCCTACCACAACACCGCTCAGTCGCATCCGTTCAGTTCTGCCTGCCCGACTTACGCCGCGGCCGCTTCCCGCCGCTCCCGTCCTGTCAGAGTCACATCTGCATTGCATCGATCCAACGGTGCAGAAAGGCGTTGGGGCGGTGACGATGCATCGTTGTTCAAAATACCTGTCCTTGTGTGTTATTCAACAGCACCCCAAAGTGACTCACCGCCTTCAGGACACCCCAGCGGCGCCTCCACCGTCCAGCAGTATCTGTAGCCGCTGCGGCACACCAACGGTGACTGACCGCCGCGATACTGTAGCTTGATTGATGGATTGCTTACTTCAGCTGACCCTGACTCGTGACAATTGCGCCCTCAATGACTGGACAAGTGATTGTCCATAGGGGAGAGGACGCTCAACACAACGGCTGTGAGTCGCCAGTAAGTCCACCAACCAGGTCGACGAAAGACGAAACCTACACCTGTTGTTGGTCTGGGTGAAAAGCCGCGCCAGCCTGCGACGCACCAACGGCGGTCCCTCAACAAGGCGTTGGAATCGACTCGACCGCTCCATCAATGAATGGCTAGCCCGCGATTTCGAGCGTCCGAGAACCGCTCACAATCTCAGGTGGTCGTTCGACAGGGAATTCGGCGAGGGGGAATGAGGGGGCTTGAGGGTGAAA